AGTTAGATAGAACGGCCGTCGGCCAAAGTCCTACATAGCCAACGGCTGATACAGGACTATAATGGAATAATAATATACCAACGCAAGAAACATCCTTTTTCGGCGCCGGTAAGGTATAAGCAAGATGGTCCGGTGCACAAGCTGTTTGAGAGGCTAATTACGAAGGAGAATGTGGAGGATTTGGGGTTCTTGGAGTGGGATATGTGTAAGGACTTGTTGCATGATGCTATTCATGATGGGAACAGGCCGAAATGGAGTCAGATGATTCTCGTGGGACAGTTTGTTATTTTAAGTAAGCAGTTTGGGGTCAAGAAGGCGATGCCAGAATACAGTATTAGCATTGACGGCGTCTGATGATATCATATTGTTGGCATGTGGTAGGTAGCTTTAAGTAGTACTATGCATTTGGTATATATATTTCCCTACAAATTGGATATCAACAGATTCTTCCTGGATAATTCAATTGAGTCGATAAACCATGAAAGGCTCAGCGACAAACAGCACAAAGCTAGGATATGGTGGCAATTTTTTTTGACTAATAGCTTCAATCCCTATTCCTGCTTGGGCTCCATCGCTTGAAAACGAATTCGCGAACCTTGTACTTCTTCAGCACACTGCCAATATCAACCTTGAATCCTCCCAGCTCTGTAGCGCTCGTATCCCATGGTTCCGGGACTTCAACGTAGACCAGCATGAGTGTCTTCATAACTTGCGTCTGTACTCGATTGACCCTGTGAAACCACCACCAGTCTTTGCGCTGCTTATCCGCAATAGTTGACTCGCTACCCGGGTTTTCATTCCAGTATGGGGCCGAGTATGATGGAATGATCATTATTGCGAATTCCGCATGGGTGAACGCGGGGCCGCGCATGTAAAGCAGATAATCAACAGCAAACTTGATACCAGGACGGACAACCCAGCCAAGGGATCGGAAGTGGTGGAAGACGACGTACTTCAGTAGGAAAGGATTATCTGGAGCGATAGACGGGACGCACGACAGGGCCGAATCGACTTGCGACGCAGCCTTACTCATGCTGTATGCAGTATGAAGATGTGTCAGAGTTCTCTCACTGTCCGCGGTGTCCTCGGGAGTCGATGCATGTGCACAATACAATCGGAGCAAGTACCACGCTGGATAAGGTTCCGACTGCTCGTCGGACTCGGTGGCACCAACATTGACCACATCCAGAACACCAAGTACATAGGAGAGAAAGAAAGCCTCCTCAGGCGTGAGCTGAAGGTGCTCTAAGTCCGGGACATCGATTTCCTCCAGTTTAGTATTGGCCTCTTCTTCTGCCAGTATAGTATTTGTGGTCTCATCTATAACAGGAACCTTGACATGGTCAGAGGTGGTAGCGTCCTTGGAATCACCGTCTACAAGTTCATCGACAGTAGCCTCTGGTACCAGTTTGCCTTCTTGCCGGAGTTGTTGCTCAATAGCTTCACGTTGAGCCTTGGCTCTTTCTAGCTTGAATTGCCTCCGCTCCTCTCGCCTAGATTGAGTAACTTCTGTGCTAGTCTTCGATGCTTGTGCTCCCCGTCGGCGCTTTTCCGCGACCAGCCACTGTGGCTCACTTCTGCTAAGCGAGCCCTTGCCCCAAAATCCCTGTTCCCATAGGGCTCGAATTGAGGCTGGATCGGTGACGTGAATCGACTGTGTCTCTACAGAGTAGTAGGCTTTGTGGATAACGTTAGGCGACTTGGGTGGCCAAAGAGACTGCGAAAGGAGACTGATGGCCAGTCGCACGAGAGAAATTGGATTGTGAGGGACAAAGGCAGGTAGCGCATAGACATCTATTGGAAGAGGTTTGGAATGTATCTCATTGTAGTTGGGTCTGCGTGGACGAGGTTTCCTCGAAGCACCGTTGCTTGGCTTCTCTTGATTTTGTTCAGTCGCGCCAGCTGGATGGGCATTGCCTGCTGCATCAGCTCGCACACGCTGAACAGCTTCGGCCATTTCTGGCAACAGAAGCTTGATGTTTGAGGAAACTACACGGTGATTAGCGAATATGCATAGACCGAGTTTGTTCAACGCGCAGCGAGTATATGGATATCAGATACCGTTGTAGTCTATTGTAACGGAAACAGCATCGATCGCCTAACGCAGTCAAGTGAATGCCAGCGCCGGCGATCGTATAAGTAAAAAGATGTCATCATAGAAAGGGTGGCCCCCCGGGTGCTAAAGAGCAGATTGTGGGTGCAAGCGCACAGAACCAACGCTGTATAAGCATGTCGCACAATGTTTGGCACCCCGAGCAGCAGAGAGAAAGATAAACGACTTACCCAGTCTTTGCGACGTCACGTAATGGCGCCGTGGATGAGCGTTGCCAGCGTCATGGCGAGTGTGTTGAAAGAAAGTGCAAAGCTCAAAAAGTTTGGACATGAGTCTTCCTCGCCAAGCCTCGCTCCGATTGGCCGAGGCCCGCTCTTACAACAATTTGGTTGCTAGACAGCTATCATGATATACCTTTGAATCTGCGCGACATCACGCAGCGATTGAGCACTTACTTTGGGGATTTTTTTTTGGAACAATTGGCTCGAGTTGCTTATTAGACTGGGTTGGTGAACGACTTCGTCGTTATGACATAATAAGAGGAGAGTGACTTCTCGGAGTTAGCACACGCATCTTTGCGACGCCACACAAGAGCAGCCAAGCATCATCAACCGCTTATTGAATCTGCCTGATTAGACCAACACTTACTTATACGAGCTGGCGTATCCGGAAACGTAACACTGAGATTTCAAGATGCTACCAGCAGCGAGGTGGTCCACCCGGCCATCACGCCAACTCCTTCGATCACTCAGTAAAACAAGCACACCATCTGCCGTCAAATCTCATATCATCCGGCCAAACTGGGTGCATCACCGAACCACCTCAGCATACTCAACTAAGATACCAGAAAATGAGCCTCCAAAGAATTCCTCAAAAGTTGATGCGGTATCGAATGCCCTCGCCACCACACCTGATTCAGAGAACAATCTCATCACGCCAGTATACGTGCCGGAAGATCCCCATGCAGTCCTCAAACACAGCCACCCTGCCATGCGCCTACTCGACAACTCCTCACTTATCGTGCAACGCCAGCTCGAGATGATGAACGTACTCATGGGTTTCGAACAGGCGAACCGCTACGTTATCATGGATCCACACGGCAACCACATCGGATACCTGGCCGAGCAGGAGCATGGCATAGGTAACACAGTCGCAAGGCAAATGTTCAAAACCCATCGGAGCTTCACCACGCATGTCTTCGATCGTGATGAGAAGGAAATACTCAGATTTCACCGACCGTTTAGCTGGATCAGTTCGAGAATACGGGTTTATGATGCTATAGGACGGGACGGCGCAACATATACGAGCTCGAATAGTTTGCAAGGTACCAGCGCAGCAAGCATCGTGAACCAAACGAGTGCAAATGTTTCAAGCTTGCCGTTGCAGGATATGAGGATCATAGGAGCTGCGGAACAAGAATGGGCGCCACTAAGGAGGAAATACAACCTGTTTGTGGCGCGAAGTCTAGACGACGACCCGGCTGCACTAGGGACACCGCAAATAACGTCTGGCGACCTACCTATCTCGAATTCGAAAGAAGTCGCAGTGGTGGAGAATGACACACGAGAAGTCGGCATGCTTCAGTTTGCTAGGGTCGATGAACCTTTTCTGTCTTGGGACTTTAGCTTGATGACCGAGGACGGACGCTTGGCAGGCTCTGTTAATCGCAACTTTGGCGGCTTCGCTCGGGAAATTTTCACAGATACTGGAGTATATGCACTTCGAATGGATGCTGCTGGGTTAGCAAACGAACCCGCACATCTTATCTCGAAGACTGGGGAACAAAGCAGGCCATCATTAGATCAACACCCAGGTATGACGCTCGATCAACGAGCGGTCATGCTTGCTACAGCAGTCAGCATCGATTTCGATTACTTCAGCCGGCATAGTGGCTCAGGCGGGATGTGGCCTATGTGGATGCCCTGGGTCGGCGGTAGTGGTGAAGCTGCTGGCGGTGCCGCAGCAGGAGAAGCAGGCGCTGCTGGGGCTGGGGCTGTCGGAGCGGCTAGCGAAACTGGAATCGCCGGTGAAGTTGGTGCTGCAGCCCGAGGTCTAGGTGTGGGAGAAGGCGCTGCCACTGGTGCTGCCACAATGGCAGGCTATGAGGCCATGCAAAGAGGCAGAGAAGCTGCACAGCAACGAGGAGATGATGCTTCACCGCAGGCTACCGACCCATATCAGCCAGACCCAACACAACAATCTGGTACAAGCCAAGTTGGCGAAGATGTCTGGGGTGAGACTCAAGATCCTGGGTTTGGATCCAGAGGCCAGGATCAAGACTTCTGGGGTAGCCAGGGCGGTCAAGGTGGTAGCGATGCTGGTGGCGGGGACGAAGGAGGGTTCAGTTGGACCGACATTTTCGGAGACGGAGAATAGAAACTAATTGAGTGTGTCATTGTTTAGCAATATTTACATGTAACATAAATTTCACCGCTGACAAAAAGATTGAGTATGGGCGACACTCGCTTGCGCATGGGACTGACAAGGCAAGCCTTGCCAAAATGTACGTCTTGTGAAAGCCATGGCGATGCAGTATTTTTAACAGGAAACTATATGCATAGACTTGTCGGTTATCATCAATAGCATCTGTGCTTTGTGGCGTTATCAACCTGGACAAGGCCAATTCAAAAAAAAAAACTGAGTTGGGATTGCGCCATGCTCCCAAACTACATTGGAAGGACATCTAGCCACGAGCAAGCGGCTGTGAACCACCAGACAAGCTTTGCTGTTCGAGGAATTTCTGTCCAGTCCGGCTTCTCCTCGCCGTTGCAAATGACCTTTATGTAAGGACCAATTTGAGTGTCCCCAGAAAAGAAATACATGGGTTCTGTCAGGTCGTAATCTTCGACATCGCAATCGAATCTGTACTGTCCCAATGATTCCTGGTGGTTTTCATAAGAGAGCAGCATTCCCATGGTCGGTTTGTGAGACTCTTTGTTATTTACAAACATCCGTACGTGAGTAACTCCAGAGAGACATGCAGAGGACACGTACCACTGCGGTATCCAATGGTTAGGGATAGTATACTCGTCTTGGCAAGGTGGATTGGTTAGTGGTCCAATCGGCTTCTCTTCGTGGGTAACGCCAATCTTTGTTTGTAGTGTAGACACACTTAACTTGTTGCTATAGCAGAAGCCCGTGATTCGATAGGCATTCTGTATAACGAGAGGCTCATACCGGTGTCGATGCTCGTGTTCCCTCGGCACGTAATACCCAAAGGTACAGGTACGCTCAAAGGATGTGTTTACCTATTTCAATATAAGACTTTTACACACAAACAGATATGCTGCTTACCACGAGAACAGGCTGGCGAATGGATAAAGCACTGTTCAGCTCACGAATCCATGCAGAAGTAATGACTCGCCATGAGAAAGAGGAAAACAAATGTATGTCATGCGTTCTGGAGTTTTGCCCCTAGTTCGAGCATAGTTGTGGGGTTTACCACTATGGCCATAGGTTTCAAGGTTCATGAAACCTTCTAACCCGCAACCAACAATGATTCCTTGCGTGTCGTCATTGAGCTCCACATATCTCATGCGTGGAGGAAGATATGGTTTGGTTTTGTGAAAATACCACGCAGGTACTTTAGGTTGAGATAATAATTGACAATCCCAGTAGGGATTCCAAAATGGCTCACTTGTGTCTGCTGATTCGACATCCACAATGATATTCTGATCAAATTAGTGATTGAATTAGCAATCTTGTAATTCATACCTTGGTTACAATGCAAATTTCTAGTTTGTTAGTCTTGGCCTGAACTAGTTTGTACCAGAGGCCAGCTCGTGAGTATCGAAATCGACCTTGGAAGTTTAGGTCAAGTACACCTACTTCATCCCGCGTTACAGCAATAGACAGGAAGTTCCGGTGATCGACGACTGTATTTTCTTGAAAAACAACACTTGTTGCGTAGCGGTGTCCCAAGAAATTGGAGTAACGAACCAAAGCTGGCTCTCCTGCAAACTTCACGAGGTTGATGTGGATGCTTTTCTGATTCTTTGCGAATTCCAGTAATGCTTGAGCTTCCCCCAAGATTATCGCTGGTTTTTGTAAAGCGCATGGCCATGAAAACCCTGCGATATCCAACACAAGCTCTGATGGTAGTCTTTCAACAACCAACCGGAGGAGATTCCCAAAGCTGTCGTTTGCGATATGCGCGAATAATGCCGATTTTGAACGAGGGAAATATTCTTCGTAGGCATGTTTTTCCCTCTCGATGTTGTGGCGATTGAGAAACTCCACATCGTCGGGCCACAGTTCTAGCAGGTCCCGAAGTCGTAGTCTTTGTGATTCAGGAAGGAGACGGTGGTAGTATTGATAGCAGTCGCGGTGAATGCAGTGAGATTTCGGAAGTTCATCAAACGCACATTGATAACAAATTGTTTTTTGGCAAAATAATTGTTCGTAGAGGGAAAACAAAGGTTGTTGGGTGTCATGTAAGGCTTTCAATAGTGAGTCACGCGCCTTAAAATTTGAGAAATGCATACCCGCTGCGACATATTCGTCTGGCTGAACAGCACAGTGACACAGCAAGCACGTTGGCTGGCCCTTATGATGGAACATAGCAGACTGCTGAAGAGTGAATGTTGGACAGCTCTTTACTTATGTACTAGTTGATTATGATTCGCCAGGTAACCGCCGTGTCGGCCTAAGCCACGTAACGTAACCAATCAACTTCTTCAATGAGCTGCGAGTTATGATGAGTAAGTGTGGGGTACAGTCCACCAATCACAAAACAATGATGCCCAAGTGAGTGGTGAACCCGCTTATTGATGCGAGCGAAGAGTGTAAAGCGAAAAGTGAGAATAAAGAAGGGTGCTATGTGGATACTGCCTCCTAACACATTATCAGATTCATTTGAATTTAATAAAGAAATAGGCAACTATCTACTATGGTTGGAAGATACCAGTATCACTATATATTGCGATATTCTATCCATAAAGAGCGAGGCTACTACACATAGATAACAGAATTTGTTGTAACACCCCGATTCCTATACTACACCCTCGGTCCCTGTTCTAATCTAGGCAGATCTACGCCTAAATTATCCGGGTCACTCTCTTTCGGACACAATTGACCCGTAGCCTCACTATTATCCGAGCCCCGCGTGGGTGAACACGAAGGCAGGGTGGTAATTTATAGCTGGACATATGTCGAATATGAACATGGCAAGCGAATCTCTTGTTCATGATTCTGTTTGGCTGTCATGAAGCTATCCACAACTTTGTGTCTTGCGTCGACCATCTACGCTAGTATCGCAGCGGCAACACCGGTATCTTCGGGTGCCAGAAAGCCTACTTTCGACTGGGCTGCCATCGACTCTCTGATAGCTTTTGGCGACAGCTACACATTCGTTCAAGGCACCCTCGGCCACCCCAACTACTCCTTCATCGGCGATGAATTAAACCTTCCCTTTACACCCGCGCAACTCTTTTCCAACCGCATTGTGCAGAACCTTACCGGGACAGCAGAAGGTGGACCCAATTGGGCCGAGTTTCTGACTGAATGTGGTGTAGAAGGCGGGCTACATGATCCACAGGAATGCGACATCCAGCTCTGGGATTTTGCTTATGCGGGCGCCAATACGATTGAGGAAGCTAGCTTCACACCACTTCACCATAACCACACTGTTTCCCTAGAGCGCCAAGTCGAACAATTCATTTCTTACGGTAACCCTGCGCTCGAATCTATTTATTTGGATAAGAAGCACGCGCTGGTAGCCGTTTGGATTGGTATCAACGATATCAACGATCTCGTCGCTACGCAGGGCAAAAACGCTACTTTTGCACCAGTCTATAGGAAGGTGCAGGAAAACATTTTCAAGAATGTGGAAAAGGTGTATGGGCTGGGATACAGGAGCTTTTTGTTCATGAATCTCCCGCCTTTGGACCGTGGACCGGGTACACCTAACGTCAATGCGTCGCTCGTGGAGCTGTTCAACGACATTCAGGCGAGCTATGCAGACAAGTTTGCAAAAAAGCACTGCAATGCAGCAGTTCTGCAATTTGATGTTAATACTGTTCTAAACGATGTGTTGGATCGATATCAGGATTATGGGTTCAAAAACATCACTGGTTTTTGTCCGGGTTACAATCAACCGGATGTCCTGATAAACCCGGAAAGATATGGTTGCACGGAATTGGATACTTACTTTTGGTATAACTCAGGGCATTTGACGAGCCGCGCGCATAAGATTATGACGGATGTTTTGAGAAAGTGGTTGCGAAAGCATTCGTATGAATAGTGTTTGTAACAGCAAATAATCAATTCATTCAAAATGGGTAGTCGCGAAAAGCCAATTCCAACGTACAACGCCCAGAATCTCGGATCGCCTCTACTATCGCTTCTCTGAAGTCGATTCATTCTCACGTACCATAACCTAAGCCTCGTCGTGACAGCCGCAACAAAAAAAACTACAGTCTGCACACACACACACACACACACAAAATGCCTTGTCGGATATCCATTATTGTTTCCACTGTTCCTCCACATTCACTGCGCTATGATCTGACCGAATCCCGCAAAAGAGTTGTGCAAAGCAATAGCCGATGGTAAAGTAAGAAAACTGGGTGAATTGCAAGTAACCCAGTTGGTCATGGGAGGCGCCGCAGGGAAAGCTCCTGCAGCAGCCATACACAAACAGCCATAGAAATAGAAGCCCCCTTCTTGTAACACAAAAATACAAGGATACATTTTCATTTGAATCGACTAGGTAATGCAATATAGATTAGAACCAGCTTCTGATCAAGTCTACGCAACAAGGACTATAGTTTGTAATCACTAACACCATCACTGTATACAGTGCATCATCAAACGAATATCCCCTCACTCCTTCACAAACTTCCCAAAAATATGAAGTGCATCCGTAGTCCTCCACTTGCCCGCAAGCCATATCCCATCCCCATCCCAAACGTGCACAGCCAGCTCCTTCATACCGCTCTTCGTCAAGACGCGCATACTAGGCGGATTCTCATAGTTAACAATCGCTCGAACATATACCTTTTGGTAATTGTCCCAGAACTTTTGCTCACCGTGGCAAGCGTCGAAGACTTTTTTTACGGCTTCGGTCGCAAGGCCTTTGCCCCATGCTGCGGGTAAGAATTGGTATCCAAGTTCGAGTGTGAGACAATCGGGTGAGTGGACAGAGTCTGGAAAGATATGGGGTGGTAGAGCAAGATTGCTCTTATCGAGAGAACGGAGAGTGATGAGTCCGATAAACCGGGTAGGGATATCTTCTTGATTTGTTGGAGTGCTGTTTGGAGCGAGCAATTCGTGAATGGCATATACGGCCCGGTATGATTTCTCTTCGCCTTCGTTGAGTGTAGTTGGCAAAATGCTTTTCATGACTTTTTCCGTATCTTCAATGGTCTTCGATATGCCGTAGAAGCTTTGGACAATCAGCTTCAGTCTTGTAGAATACTGACTTTCCTATAACGAATAGGAGCAGATCGATACTCAACATAAAGGGAAAAATAAAAAATCAGTACTAACCTCCACCATGTAGCCTTTTCGTCACTGCGCAAATCGTGTAGCCATTTAAGCTCCTGGCTCCCTCTCTCCGCTGTCGTGATGAGCGTCAACTTCAGCCGCGGTGTGAACAAGGTTTGGTCCATGATACTCAATATGCTCAGAAAATGTATGAATAACAACTCATCATCAACACAGAATGACTCTATATACACATTTCCCTAAGGATTTTAGGCAGACAGTCCGGAATAGACTATTCCGCATTCTGGCCAATAGGCGTTTGTAGAGCTCGGTAAGTGTTGGAAGCGGTAAAGTGCACTCGAGATTTGGGTTAGTTATTCCGAAATCTAAGGCTAAAATCGGTATACCACGATGATGAGTAAACGTCAGGCCCAAATTGCAATAAAAGTCGTGTTGTCGGGAATTTATGACTCAGTTTGCCTTTGTAGGGTGGGGATCTCTGCTAGCATGCTGACCAACTCCCACAATTTATTCTTTCATCCTGCATGAATCCCTCTGCAGTGCCAGAACTTCCTACTAAGATATCTAGCATAAAGTACACATCGTAGACGCAGTACTAGAACTACCGGTAACATCTAACAATCGGCAAGTCGAATGTTTTCGCTTCTTCATTTATGTACCCTGCTGATTACTTGTGCTGCGAAAGTGAGAAGATAGTTTTATCGACTCCAGCACCCAAGCACTCAATCTATGAATTTTGTGCATTTGCAAATCTACATAAATCTCGCTATGTGAAATAAGTGATGTAAAGGCGTCAACTCAATGGCAGTCGAAGCATACGCGACGTTGTATTAGCGCAGTTCTTCTGTCTTGGCATTCCCGAATCTCCGACCGAACTTTTGGCACCACCGCAATCACGATTGACATCTCCAACGCCGCAATGGCACACCCACGATCGTTAATAGCGCCTTTGAGCCGGCTTGCGACCTCATCAATTGCCGCCGCGAGACCCGAAGTCCCTCGTATTGCTTCATTACCGTACCAGACGATACGATGCGCAACGACCAAAGCACAACCGAAGAAAAAGAAGAAGACGCGGAATACATTCCTGCAATATGATTTGAAGCAGGCAGACCAATTCTCGCTGATAGATGCGATGCAGTAAGTCTCTGAATAGGGCTCTGGAGTGCTGTCAGTGCAAGGACTGGTGCTAATTGGGGAATAGATATATCCGCGCCTTCGAAGTAGGCCGCAACCCCTCTTCCTCAAAATACGAGATGCATGTTCGCCTGCGCACGCTGAAAAACGGCCCCGTGGTGCGAAACCGCTTACGGCTCCCACATCCCGTCAAGACCGACATACGGATCTGTGTCATTGCCCCACCGGACTCCAAGGCCGCCGCTGAAGCTCGCGCTGGGGGCGCCACGCTTGTCGGCGAAGACGAAATCTTCAACCAAATCAAGGAAGGCATTGTTGAATTCGACAGGTGCATATGCCACATCGATAGTCTGCAGAAGATGAACAAGGCGGGGCTAGGACGAGTGCTGGGTCCCAAGGGCTTGATGCCCAGCACAAAGACTGGCACAGTGGTCACGCAAGTGGGTACGAGTGTGAGGAACATGGTGGGAGGAAGCGAATACAGGGAACGTCTAGGCGTTGTTCGCATGGCAATAGGACAATTGGGATTCACGCCAGATGAGATGCAGAGGAATATCAAAGCATTCATGGAGGCGCTTAAGAAGGATATGGCACAATTGAGTGATCGGATCGGCAAGGAGATTCACGAGGTGGTGCTTAGCTCGACGAATGCGCCGGGTTTCACATTGAGCGGGGAATTCAGAGGGCCCAATTCGATAGCACCAAAGGAGCTGAGCGGACCTTTGTAGATGTAACCCTAGGGATGGGTGTATGAACAGTGTACCATACCGAACGCCGTCGCTATGCTGGTGTCAAGATCTCCCATTATGATGACTTTAATGTCTTGAGAAGTTTGACAGCTTCTGCTGATTCCTCCATGTCCGCATAAATCTTCATAATCTTCATAATGCGCCCTGATCCGTCTGCTCCCGCACTCTTCGCTTGCCGTAGTGCGGTACTCAAGTCCATCAACAATGTCGTCCGCACTTTTGTTTTTCTTGCAGCCTGCGCCGCAACAAAAGGATGCTCATCTAGTTCTTTTTCCAATCCCAGAAGCAATTGGTACTGTACTACATTTCGTCTTAGTTTTGCGACGGAAATAGTGTAGCTTCCCTCGTCTTCGTCCTCGTCCTCATCCTCGTCGCTATCCGAGACCTCTTCTCCGACAATAATAGGCTCTTGACCCGGCGTCTCAATCATGAGCTCAGCTTCCAGTTCTTTGAGCCTAGAATTGTAGTCTATGAGCTGTCTGCCGACTTCGATTTTACGCCTGACGTCGCGTTTCTCTTCTAATAGCTCGCGCACCTCTTCCTCTCTCTTACCCACTACACCCATCAATCCATCAATCTCCTTTCGGAAACCTAGCAGCCCCACCCGCACTTCTTCTACCTTCTCCTCTCCGCCATTTAAGCTGTTTCCCAAGTTGAGGAAGTCCTGGTAGTTTGAGTTGACGAGGTCGAGAAGCTCTTTGGACAGAAGCTGGGATCGCGAGCGCAACTCTGAGCGTAGGTCCTCGAGCGTTTGGTGACGGTTATGCAGGGTAGAGAGGTAGCTTGCAGGCGAGAAGTCCGGAGTGAGGAAATCGGAGCGGCGGAGCGGCGTTGCAAAGGGAAGGGTAGAGATGTTGTCGTCATCAGAGTCGTCGCTGGATCCAGAGCGCGAGTCTGCGCCAAACTAGACAAAAAGCCTGTTAGTCGCACAGGTCTACTTCCCACTGCGCTTGTTGGAGAAGACAACGAGGGGTGCGTTTACATACTTGAAATTGACTCATGGCTGCTGTCTTTGTCCCATCGACACGTCGCGCGCTGGGGTAATGATGCCAGAAGTTCAAATAAACTACTAATCGATAAGCTTCGGAACGTGGACCGAGGTGTCGGAACAAGCGTGCTGGCGGGTTTGTAATGTCGAGCCGATTAGCGGACCCCTCATCTGTGGGGTACGACGGCAAAGTAGAGTACATACACTACGTCAAGCGCTGGTTTTGTTTTTCTCCTGCACTTCGCCTTCGGGTATTCGCGATAACTTTGTCCGTTTGAGCTAGTTTAAGCCTTGCATTTGCACATTTAAAGGACTGTTTTCTATATACTATAGATATACTTTGACCTCCTCCTCCTCCTTCTCCGCTACTATCCGGCACGATAAGAGTGCCAGATCATACTGTCTCTAGTCTAGTACAATGCTACCGCAGCCAGACCTCCCTGAGCCAGCACACCCAGGAATCGATTCGATGCTGAGCCGCAAGTTTGGAAAGGAAGTAGCCAATTACTTCTCTGGTATGAAGACACGCGGTCTATCTACTCGTGGAGACGCTTATCTCTAACAATTTCATGCAGGGTCCCCATTAAACCGTGTGGGTTTCCTTCGTCCCGACCACCAATTTCTGTCTTCGGCACTACACCACCCATCTACTAGTTTCCTTCTCTTCAACAAGCTCGAGCCGCTCGTCAAGTCCGCTACCGAGCTTGCTCGCTGCACTTTCTCGGATGTCAAGCCCGTCATTGGCGACAACCCGTTTGAGAAGTCCGAGGAGGATCTCATTGCGCAGTACAATTCAACTCTGTATACGCCGCAGATTATCTTCTTGGGTCTGGACGAGAGGAAAGAGGGCTTCAAGTACAAGGAGCATTACAAGGGCCAGCCGTGGTTCGCCGTAGATGTCACGCCGCAAGAAAGCGTCAAGGAGAAGGCAGAAGAGTTGATCAAGAAGTTCGGAGAGCAGGGATTAGAGTTCAGCAAGGGACGAATGCATATGAGTCTGCCTGCCGAAGAAGGTGCGCAATCACCATACTCTCATACCATGCATTTCCCACACATGGAGATAACCAAGCAACTAACACGCACCAGCCGCCATCTACGCCGAAGCCCGCCACCTCCTCGACTGGAACGCCCGAAACCCCTTCTGCGCCTCATGCGGCTACAAGACTCTCTCCGTAAATGCCGGTTTCAAGCGTACCTGTCCACCCAAGGACATTGCATCCAGCATCGATCAAGGCGAGCGACCACCCTGCGCCACCCGCACGGGAATCTCCAACCTCTCCTTCCCGCGTACTGATCCCACCGTCATCATGGCCGTTGTGTCCGCCGACGGCAAAAAGATTCTTCTCGGCCGCCAAAAGCGGTGGCCCCCGAACTGGTATTCTACCCTCGCTGGATTCCTCGAGCCAGCCGAGAGTGTCGAGGAAGCCGTCCGTCGCGAGGTCTGGGAGGAATCCGGTATTCATCTCGGTCGTGTGGTTATCCACTCTACGCAGCCGTGGCCGTATCCTGCTAACCTTATGATCGGTGCAGTCGGCCAGGCGATTCCGGACGGGGAGACGATTCATCTGGGTCACGATGCCGAGTTGGAAGATGCAAAGTGGTTTACGGTTGAGGAGGTTAGGGAGGCGTTGCGTGTGGGGACGAGTGGGCTGGGAGAGGGTGCTGGGCCCGAGTACAAGGAGGGTGGGCTGAGGTTGCCGCCTAAGACAGCGATTGCGAATCAGCTAATGACGGCGGTTGTCAATGGGTTCGCGAGTGGGAGTCCAATGATTTAAGTAAATTAGTGGATATGTGAGGAAGTATAGTTGTAGAGGTAGAGGTAGATGTATATACAGAAGACGGTCTCGGGGATAGGGGCGCACATGTTTCTCGTGGACTTATGATATTTCTATTTTGTATGTACTTGGTAATCTACTCCAGTACAATGTACTTGCGCAAGTGTTCGGGTATAGCATCGTACAACTTCTTCTGTTCCAGCCACTTCTTGGAAAACAGACGGTCGGCATATCGGTATGCGCCATCGCACAGCAGTGTGACGACTGTTGATCCTTTGCCCAGCTTCTCAGCTACCTCCTTGGCTGCAACAACGTTCAGACACGAACTAGCGCCCAAGTAGAGACCCTCTTCATCCAAGCATCTGTACACCATTTCAATGGTCTTTTCATCGCTGATGTGCACTGAGCCGTCAAGGAGGTCGATATCGGGCTTCAGGTTGTCTGTTACACGGCCTTGCCCAATACCTTCTGTTATGGAGCCACCAGATCGCTCTGTGAGCTTACCGCCGCTTTGGATGTAAGAGTGTAGCACTGAGCCTGGTGGATCCG